CATCAGATATAGAAATAATTACCAAACGAAACAAGCACTGATTTTCGCTGATAGCGTCGGCACACCAGATGGGAAATGTCGCAGATGTACGTGTTATTCGTTTTAGAAACAAATTTGAAAGGGCCCATATGCATTATAGATATTATGGATCGCACAACGGATGAAGGACGAAAAAAGCGACATGTAGGTCGTTAGACACGAATTTGCATATAGACATTATAGCTGAAAAAAAGAGAGACCTTATATATATATATACATTGTCATATAAATGAATGATAAACATTGCGAAATACACGTACGTCTACGTATCAAATAAGTTGCACAATGGTGATTTATAGCTCGTCGGAACCACCCCAAAGAAACTTTAAGAGCTATTCGTATTAACCAGCACTCACCACGTGGAGGTTGCTCTTTTAAGAGTGCCATTTTCATTTTCCTGCACCATTCCCACAACAGCAAGTTCGAACAGCGAACCCCTTTACTACTGTTGTATAAACCTAATGCGTCAATACTGACATTAGGTTATGGAATTACAGGTTATATCCTATTACTTCTAGCCTATAGTTGATTATGGTTTGATCATCTTTCCCTGTTTCTGTTACCTTTCCCTTCCCCTACCTTCCACTATCCACCTAATTTATTACCTTTTGGGCTTGATGAGTTTGCCTTTGCCTTTACTTTTGCCTTTTCCTTTCCCCTACCTTTGGGGTTTGGGGGCTGGGGCTGGGGCGCTGTTGGAATGGACGCCGAGGCAGGTTCCTCACCGTCGTTTGATGCACTAGCTGCTTGTTTGATGACACCGGCTACAAATGCACACTCACTAGCAGCCTGTAAGGGTGTTTTTTACATAATATTTATCTACTGTTTTGGGCCATGTGCAAGATAGTCACTGGCCATCTTACGTTTTGCATCATCATCGGGATGCTGCCTTGCCACTTCAGTCTCCAAAGCTTTTCGAACATCCGTGGCTGTAAATGTCTTACGTTTATTTCCCTCGTTGGGTTTAAAGAAACCTCTTTCGCCCTGGAAGCGGGCCAACTCGAGGGACATGTTACCCACTTCGGTACCATTGTCCACCTTTCTGAAGAAAGGCGACTTTTCCGGCTGGACATCTTCAGGCATGTCACCACGTATATACCGGCGGTAATCCCTGAACATGTTGTACTCCTCTTTGCACAAGGTTATGCTGACCAGGAAGCTCGTGGACGTCTTGTGGTCCATGAACGAAATTTGGTACCTGCCGCCAACGGATCGTGCCTTATCAAAGTCAGCCAACTTCATACAGGATGCCACCGAAGGTCTTTGGGCATGACCAAGTTGAATTATCCCACAGGACAGGTACCGCATCACCAGGCGCTGATCGTCATCGGATTGTCGATCTGCCTTGGCCCGATCCAGGATGTCCCTCACCTCCTGTCTGGTTGCAGGATCTGTGTATCCCTTTGAGCAACGGAAATGGATGGCGGTTGCCTGGTTTCATCTCTGAATTCTGCAACAGATTTATGGGCTTCCTCGCGTTTATATTGTTTACTTACACCTGTATATGAACAATTTGTAGCACTTGTAAACCTACGCAAATTATCGCAAACCCTGGGTGACATTTTAACATATGTTTGACAGTAGGTGAGAAAGGATTTGACTGCTGCCATGTAATTTTTAATGGCACCTGCAGAAACCCTGTTTTGCGAAAATACCATGTTGAAATGATGTATTTCATCTACGTGCTCAAATATATCAAAATTGATACAAGCCATATTACTATTTGGGAATACCTGTTTTGGATAAAATAGAAAAACTTAGAAACGCGGCGACATGTGTCCCCAGCATTACGCCCTGCTTTTTAAGAATATTGGTTAAATATTGCTTAAACCCTGAAAGTGTGGGTTCACTTTCAGGGAACCTATCATATAAGCCAGAGTTAGTTAGATTAGCCCTGACTGAGTTGTGTTGGTAATTATACCGAGTACCATTTCTGGTCGACCCAGTTAAACCAGTACTGGTACTCGGCATTGATTATTATTTGAAGGAGAGGCTACAGGTGCGTCCTCTCCTTGTATTGTGTGGCCAAAGTGTTTTAGTACCCTGATGTACTCAGGGATTTGGTTTTTGTTTATTGTGAATGTGCCACAAAATGCCAATAGAGCCGACATGGACACAAGCTGAGTAGCTGTATAAGACTCGCTTTGGCGGCGATTTTGGGCATGAATGGCGTTTATAGCAGCAGTAGAACTGTTAGGATAACATTTTTTAAATGCGCAACGCCTTTGTAATATGTTTTGCACTTTTGACAAACCACTGATACATTTGTGGAAGGCATACTGGCAAAAGATTCACTGTACTATGTTTCTGGGAGCTACAGAAAAGGGCCTTGATGTCACAGTTTTGTACTTGGATATTTTAAGAACCCTATTTATGCTATGTATCAGTTTGATATATTGAGCAGCGTAGATGACTTATTAAAAACAAGCAAAAGGTAATAAAAGTAAAGTTCACTTGCCAATAGGGATCGTCAACGCCGACTGGTATTCGTCCACTAAGACACTCGGTCTGTGATGATGATATTGTGAGCATTCAGTTATATTACCACGTCCCAGACAGATAGCCAATGGAATGGTTTAGATGAAGGTCACTGTCATGTGACCAAGTCGGATGTTTTTAAGGGAGAGGAGGAAATTGTGAATTGCCCATCTCCATTCTATGCATGACGTCCATTTGGAGGGGCAAGGGCACGCCAAAAGGTGTGAATTGCCCATCCCAATGAAAACCAAGCATTCTATGCACATGGCCGAAATCAGTCGGGCGACAAGATTATAAAATCACAAAGCTGCTTATCAAAAGAAGGATATCTTCACGGTGACGAAATTAAATTTGCTGATTAGTGGTACATCTCCGGAAATTACCTGCCACGCCTCAGACTAAACAGTAAACACAGCAGAGTGATGGACAGCTAATGAAGTGATAATTAGATTTACAGGAAGCTAGAGATGTGCATGTATATACAACGAATCCACGAGGACAGGTCAAACAGACGTTATAAAACAATGATGATACGTAGATGTGATATATAGAGTGTGATATAAAGCTAATTAAGTGACAATAGCGGCGGCTTTTGTGATAAAGTATAGCTGTCATAACGCCGACGGGCCGACGGAGCATGCACGCCAGATCATAGATTTGATCCGGTTTCAGCAAAATATAACGGCGCGCAGTGCCCGACTATCAGGTGTGACTCGAATGCACATTATACCTTGGCAGAACCGCATTTTCAAGGGCTTTCTGATACACTAACATTATAAATAATAACACTACAGGTATTGCTGTTATGGTTAGATTCCAAACGCTTGTCCTTTTAGTTATGTCAAGCATGTTCATTCCTGTATTGCTCAACTATCTAATGTCGCACAACAACATATTACATATTCCCAGAATCCCACATGAATGATCTTGCAAATGCACTATAGATGTAAATATTAACACCGCCGGTATAGGCGGTGTACAAATTCATCTATATTCCGCCAATCTATTTCACGTCCCTTATATTTTGCAGTTCGCACATTAATACTCATATAGCTCCACCACTGAATGTGCAACATGTGCGTATTATACATTGTCTAAAACACGCCTCAATAGGCTTTCAAACGCGCTATAGAAATGTATATTCTGAGGTGATGTGTAAGAATAGTAGCCGTTATATCAGGAACTGCGCGAGGTTGGCGAAAATTGCTATATCACAGAAGAATTGAACTTCAGTAAAATTACACAAAACATCACGTCGGAGTTTCAATCTGGACTGGTTACCAGGGGCAGCACAATATTCACGTTTGCATATTTGGAGAGCGTTTCCCAAGGTTTCCAAGAACGTATAACATGCATAGATATGACAAAGTAGAAGGCTTGAAAAATGCCATGGCGCAGGCGACTTCCACCGGAGGCTGGTGGAACAAGTTTCTTCCACCGGGGCCTACGTGGAAGAAAAACGCACAGCTTAAAATCACAGAAACCTTAATTGCTCGGCTATAAAGTTGCGTAAAACAAACGGAAACATTCTCCGTGTAGCCACAGGACACATCTATCCAACGACGCGCGGCATGCGCGTGTAAGTTGAGCTATTTATGCAGCCCCCAAGGGAGCCGTGCTGAAATAGGTGATACAATCTGTTTCGAACTATCCTTCTACTAAATGCAGGAATGATTATTTGACTATGAAGTATCAATGATCAGGAGAACTGACGGATCAGAGTATCCTGGCGGCGTTTGACAGTGCTCATCACAATAAGCACTGCTTTTTCTGTATAGTATCGGACAATTTCGAATGCTTGCGATTACTACAAGTTGATGGTTGTCATGTTTGCGACAGTGTTATATTTTACTCTGACAATTCATCACCTTGAGAACAGAATCACAACTCCCAATCAAGACCTGATAAATGATCAACACGAAGTAAACCAAAGTGCTGTCCACACAGTGCACACATTATAATGAAGCATACAAGTGTGTTGTAAATACTGGCACAAACTGCTATGTAATATATACCTTCCACTGCCTGGAATCTGGAAACGCAAATATACATGGCACACTAATTGAGCTGGATTACTCACAGACAAGTCTGTGGCTATCGAATTGCAATAATTATCCATAACACATAAAAATCATATTTTCTACTTTTCATCCAACAAATAAGGGGCGTGTCAGGGAGACATGCGTGTCAAATATATTGCATGCAGTTGTCTTGACAGGTACAGTACAGTCATGGTGTCCACAGCTATAGATAGCATTCAAGAAGTTCCAGTGAAAGATGTGTTTGACATGTTTCGAACAGTTTTTGATTTTTCTGGGATATATACGTTGAAGTATGAGTGGAAGACGAAATCAAAGAAAGGACAAAAGTTTCTTGTAGGCTTGTTGATGTTTCATTCCGGTTTCAATATAGCCCTACAGCTCTTCACCGTTGTTAGGCTGCTTTTCGTGGTATCATGGAACAAATTAGCCACAGGAACGGAGATGGCTAATGTTACTTACTGCCTCACCTATCTATTCACTCTAGGAGTGAATATCGTCAGCGTTACGTCTGCGAAAAATAACTGGGATTTGCCCCTTGAGAAGTTACACGAAGACAAAGGAACAGTTAGGCGGAGATTGGTAAAGTTTTATAAGTTCCTGGTGGGTGTGGTTCTGATCGTGGCCGTCGGATATTCTGCATACATCTACTCGTCTTTGTCCAGACTGAAGCCTGGAGATAAAATGAACATTCTCACGTTTTGTCGAGTGGCTCCAATTACTCCCGACAAGTTTATCTGGAACATCGTCAAACTGCTTGTCGTCTTTTTGAACACATTTGCAATAACTAGAATGTATGCCCTACTGGCCTTCTACTTTCTTGCTGCCTATCACATTGTACGGGAGTTCAAACTGCTGCAGAAGAAAGCGATTGACTTGAAACAACATGGACACTGTGTTACGTTTGACATAATCAAAGACCTAAGACTGCAATATAAACATTCAGTGTCTTTGACAAAGATACTGGACTCGCTTGTCACCTGGCAAGCGTTCTTATGTTACAGTTTGCTTCTCCCGAACATATTTGTGTTCCTCTATGGAGTGCTTAGAGTACCATCAGCAAGAGAAGAGTTTCCCATTGAAATAGAGTTTTTAATGGGGACGTGTATTTACATCACCGTTCTTACTTTAACTGGAACTTCAATCAACACGGCGGTAAGTACATAGGATTTCCCAATTTCCTCTCACAGTTCATAAAAATGTCAAAGCACCTGTACCCACTGCATAAAAAAGAATGTGAAATGTTGATTATGCAATGAATCAACATAGAATGTCCACCACCTTATCAGTGGATGCCATTCCTTGGAACAAACAGCTTATCTTAAACGATATGATGGCATGGCTCGTTGCTTTTAGTACCGTCTCCGCCATACATGTGGCTTTGACATCCATGGTAAGACCCTGAACATGGCCAGGGCGTCATGGAAAATGATTTCAAACTGTTTTGGAATAGGCCAATATATACAGCCTCAGAAGAATTCCAGCAAACGAAGCAGATCTTTTCCTTTTGATAAAGCCAATGAATTTATTTATATCATTGAATTTTCTATCCCCTTTGGCAGCTATGTGATTGGCAAGATTCAGGAAAGGCATACTAAATATGCGGACCTCGCTTTTGAAATGTCTCGCTTGCATACTAAGTACACTGTCGTCAGGCTCCCATTGTTCTAAGTGCCCTTGGTTTGGTACCTCCTGATCTCTTGGTGCAGATCAGCCCTTCTGACACTCTGGGTAATGCAGAAGGCTGCAGTGTTGGGGAGCCTTCATATTCTCCGGAAAGTGCTTGGTGTGTTTGACTGGGCAGCGTTTCCTGGGAGATGTCTCATTCGCTGTCTGGGCTGCGTGTAAAGGGGATAAGGGCCCTGAGCTGACAATGAGCCTTACCAGCCTGACTGTGCCAGGATTACCCGAACATTGTGGCATTTAGTGATATCTCAAACTTGTATCTTGATTTAAGCTGGTCAAAGACGTCAACCGGGAAGTACAGTCAGTGGAAGTAAATCTACAACTAAAATCTTCAGTCAAAGCAATAGCAAATCAGCCCTATTAGAACACCAGCAAACAGTCAACAACTGTTTCAGTTTGAGTAAATTCAAATCCAAACATCAGGACTTCACAAGAAGAAAATTCGTTGCATTTCCAACTCAGTGCTATTTTCATACCCTAACATGATCCTAACGTGTTGGACATTGATGCTTCTGATGCTGAGTGTCGAACTTTATGACTCTACCGTTTCCTTTCTCTTCAGGACGAAAATGACTATACGTGTCGTTGGTAGTGACGCTGAGGTTCCCCAGCCATTAAATTCAACTGGAACACATACATGCCCTCTCATCAGAACTTTACAATAAGAAAACTGCTTGTATTTCCACACCTTATGTTATTTTCATACCCTGTACGATTATATGAACTCCTTTCCATCCAATGGGATATCTGACGCTTAACTATTGTATCATCACAATATTTGTCGGGTGTGCATCATTTTCATTCAACCAGGTTGTTTCACCGGGAATGCAAAGGGAATCCACCACTTTCAATTCAGTGAATTAATGGCTTAGGTCATTGGTATTCTGCTGCACTTTTCAAAACAAATATTCCATTCCATTATATGGAGACATTCATATGTGGAATAAAACTGTAATGCTTTGTTGACAAATGACTATTGATTAAGTAATCACATAAAACCGATTATGGAACAAAAGAGAGAGTTCAGAATTTGCTCTTTTACCCTGTCGTTCAACTTGGGTCTAACACAGATGAATAATGCATTTAACCAACGTGACCGACATTGCTTGTGTAAGTTTGATAACAGCTGTTTGGAACAGGCTTTTGTTTGCTGTCGTTGACTAGGCACGTTCATTTGTTTCAGTCAAAAGGTATGGAAGATGTTCTTTATCAGATTGGAATAGACTGGAGTGATGACAAGACCACCAGAGCTGTAAGTAAATGTTAATTGTAAAGTATACTCAGAGGCAAAAGTTATTGTGACATGTAATGTTTTCATTTGCACCAGGTAAATATTGTTCTGGATTTGAACCAGATAGTGAGTGTGTTGAAATGGTCCAAGAAACGAGCTTGGCTAGAAGCATGCCTACAGCCCATGTAACATTTGAACCCCCTTTTGTTTGCACAATCCATGTACGCTGTTCTGATTGATGAAAATTATCACACCATGAATTATGTATCTTTCCATGTAATACCTTTATATTCTTGTCAGTAAACATGCACCTGCTTGTGTGCCACAACACGTTTTGCGCGTGTGAGTGTAAATCTGGCCGAAACATGCAACATGAAAGCTTTCTGCGTCTGATCTATCAAATATCTATATGAACAAGGATCTGGACACTTTACATGACATGACTTTACATACTGATGTAAATACACAGAACCACCATAGGTGTCCAGAAAGAAGGATAGTCTTCAACACCATATGTATGGGGTTTGTCCGAATCCATGAAATTGTGCTCATAACATCATTCACTTGTCTTATTCTGATATAAGCAACAGTCGTAATAAATAGCTGCGATATTCCTGGATGTGCTTTTAAATAAAAATAACCGGATTGTAATAGTATCTGATCATATACGTCAATGTTGATATATATGGGTAAAATAAAATAACATGTCTGTCTCTATGTGTCTAAATGTGTTCAGTACCAGATGTTTCTCTATCGTGTCTCCACGTCCGATGTGGGAATCACAGCTCTTGGATTCTTTACTATCAATAAGGGAACCGTACTTACAGTAAGTAAAACAGTCGTGATCCTTCCGTGGCACAGATGGCTCTTATTTTCAAGCTTATGTTGCGCAACGTTTCAACTGTAAGACGCCGGTCTGTTGAAACATAACCTGTGGTATATCTTAAGCGCTTATTTCCAAAGCTGTAAAGAAAAATCAACATGAAGTCAACCTGGCATCATAAGATCCTCTTATCTGATCCTCCGCCATTTACGACAAGCATGTTGCTGGGAATTTATGACTTATACTCAAGAGGAATTGCTATTGGGTTTGAAATGGTGATCAGTTTAGTTTAAGTGTGTGTGACCTTGGTGACTATGTTATTGCTCATGGTATCAAGCATTGGTTCAGCTGCCTTGAATTCGTTGATCCTTATCACCACCCTGATGATCATTGCCGAATGCAGTATGCCTATGATCTCTAATATATCTATTTGTCTATACGTAAACGTCACCTTGACTGTTTTGTGTTTGCTTCATGTCTCGCTCACAAACTTGCAAGCGATATGAGTGAGTGAGTGAGTATGATTTTACGCCGCTTTTAGCAATATTCCAGCAAGATCACGGCGGGGGACACCAGAAATGGGCTTCATAAAATGTTCCGGGCATAATGAGAACAATATCTAATTGTTTCTGATAATGTGAGTAAAATAATATTTTGGTTGGTAAGAATAGGATTTACCCTGAAACATCATGTCACTATTTATTTGCTTTTCCAGATGGTTGGGACTATAGTGTCCTATGTAATCGTCATCCTGCAGTCGCCCACAGGCTCTGACACCTACCAGGACCAACCCAATGGAACCTTACATCCATAGTCACACAATTCTTTGGACTGTGAGACAACTGAACGTTACTGGATTGTCCGTTTTAGTGATAGTCATAAGGGTCCCTCGTGTTTATGGCAATCCAGATGTCAAACGGATATAACTAAGAAGTTATACTTAGTTTGTGACCCTGCAATATCTCGGCATTGGGTATACCAGAAATGGGCTTCACACATTGTACCCATTACGTGTTGGAAGTAGAATTACCATGTATTGTTATGTTATGTTATATTTCGTTGTAGTTTATTATCAGCTGGCTGTAACAATTTGGCTACACACAGCTTGATTGCATATATGACGTATCTGACAAGAGAAAAACGTGAAGATCAGGATAAATGGAAGGTTCAATTGTGCATGAATGGGTATAATTGACAAAACTTGAATGTACATTTATTAGTGAAAGCGAAATGGCATCTTCTACTCTACGTGGTAAATAACCTAATCATATATAAGGGCACTCCTCACCTGCTGTTGCGTCAAAGGCTTCTGACAAAATTCAATTTGATAAAGTAGAATCTGAACTGATGGAGTAATTAAAGTGATTGGGCGTCGCTTAAGACGATGTTTTGAGCGTAAAACCTCAAACGGCAAGGCAGACAGCAAATCAGCCCTCTCATGCCCAGTCACCAAATCCAGTTTAACTGTATAGCGTCGATATCCAGCTCAGCTAAGCTGCTCAAAGCCGCTTAGTTTTTCCCTCGTTCACTGGATGTCAATCTCAACGGCACATCGTATTGTCAGTCTCAACTCCCTGGGGATCATACAACTCTTGCAGCCACTAGGCGCACCGAGTTATTGTGGCGAGGTACCCATTCACAGCAGGGTGGACTGGGACACATAGTCACAGTACTTTGTCCACTTTTACTGAACGTTGCTGTAACTAGGTGTTGCACGTATTCATGTGGCCACCATCTGGTCATATACCAACGGATTCGTGGATTCTTTTAAGTGCACAGGGTTGTGTACTGTACACTTTGGGTTGTGACAACACTCCAAGGTTTTTACACCCGGTCACAGGTGGGCTCGATCCCGTCACCTCAAGCTCGCTGGATCACTAGCCTGGCGCTTTAGCCAGTTCGCCCACTGCGCCCCCATACACTGCACCTGGGCCTGACATACCAGTGGTATTTATTATGAGCCATTTACAAAAGCTGTCAAGGTAGAATGAAGCGTAAACAATATAGCCACCTTTTATGAGAATCATGCATGGTTTTAACTTTTTTAATCGGTATTCTAGATGTTGGTCAGTCTGTAATGAAACATTTATTTGTTATCGTTTATTTGGGATTATACTTTCTCAGTGAAGTAAAAATTCAATTCTTTTGTTGGGCTGAACCCACATCCTCAGAGGCAGGCACCTAATCACCAGTCAACCCGCTCAGCCACCGCGACTTCCACAAAGTCGGACAACTAGTAGTCTATACTGTGGACTTTGTGTACCCCTCTGATAAGTGTAAATTGGTTCCCACGGTCGAAAGTTATGAATACACAGTGCCATTTAAAGAGTGGTCACGTGTAACATGTTATATTTGGGATTACACTTTCTCTGTAAAGTACAGATTCTAGTATTTGGTGCCTGACTCTCAGACCACATGCTTTTTTATCTCAAAGGAAACTAATAGATTATTGATTTCCACCCCTGCCTAAGATATAAAATGCATTTTCTTGAAAATAAAGCAAAGCAATGTTATTATGAGGGCACTAAGAAAACAGCCTCTCTTTCATTTAAGAAAAAAATGATGACAAGTTATATCTGTCCCCCACACTACAGCTTCAATCATAATGCATGTTTCGTATTTTACACCATGGCCTTTTAATTGTATAACATTTGAACACTTGTGTTGGGCGTTCCACTTTCAGCGTGAAACAGAACCCCGTGATTATTTCGTGTACAATAAGGAAACAGCTGAATGTCGAGGACAATGTTAGAACGGAATAACCACTTGACATAAACCAGTGTGTATGACCAAACTGGTAAAGAAAGGAAAAGCATATATAAATGAACATCGGTTAAATTTCAATAGAGAATTCATTACTACAGCAAATGTACACAATTTCATTTCATACAAAGTCGAAAGTACCGTTTGACTGCCACTGAAAGACACGTGGCATCATAGTTTGACCTTTTACACAATTCAACAAGTCGTTTTATGTCTGCAGAATGTCACTAAACGTTGAATCAATAGTGAGTATTGATTCAACGTTGGCTTCAATACACGCTAAACACGTCGACGCAACGATAACGCAAGACGACGAATGACGTTAGGCGTGAATCCGTTGACATTCCTGTCTGAGATATTGTTCCAGTTGTTGAGCGGTGACAGGTTGCGCTGGTAGTCTTCTGATTTGTCTATCCAGGTAGTCCCGTAGGTGCTCTTCTATCGGATTCATGTCGGGAGAACATGCTGGCCACAGCAAAACAATGATGTTAGCGTCATGCAGAAAGTCGTTTGTCAGTCTTGGTGTATGAAACCTTGCGTTATCGTGGTGGGAGACAAAACCACGTGGTTGTTGCTAAATAAATGGCAACAGAACCGGTCGCAAAAGTTTATCCCTGTATCCTCGAGCATTCAGATTGAAAAGAATTCAGGTTGCATAAATATCTTTCCGAGATCCCTCCCCACACCTTCGCGCTATCGGTTCCAAAGGGTCGGACTTGCTGAACGCAATTCAGCGCTAAATGTTCACCTACTCGTCTATAAACACGAGCCCGGTCGTCATTACTGTACAGGCAAATACTGCCCTCGTCTGTGAACATCACACGTCGCCAATCACGCATCTGCCAACGTCAAACTCGCCTGGCTCATGTTAAACGACGAGGTCGGTTTGGAAGAGTCAGATACATTCCGCATTACTGTCTATGTGCTCGAACACCATGTTCTCTTAGTCGCCGGTACACTGTATGTTGAATGATACGGTGCCCTAGTGCTGTCGCTGCCGTTAAAGAACGATTTCTCAGACGAACTGTCAGAATGTAATCACCGAGCGTTATCACACGTGGTCGACCACTCCTAGGCCTGTCTGACGTGTTATCTGTTTGTCTTAGTCGACGCATCAGTCTTATTACAGTTACTCGGGTACAGCCAAAGGTTCTGACAATAACGGTGTGGTTAGCTGCTTGTTGGCCTTTCCGACAGCTCTCTCTCTCTCTCTTTCATTTGATTTGCCTCAAACGAGGATATTGTTTCTGTTCTTTTACTACTGTGTTGCTCACGTATCGCATAGGCTGTTTATACCGCCTGTATGCACCTGCCTTTCGTGTTACATCAGAACAGTGTCGCCGTGTTCGCCGTGTTACATCAGAACAGTGTCGCCGTGTTACATCAGAACAGTTCGCCGTGTTACATCAGAACAGTGTCGCCGTGTTTACATCAGAACAGTGTCGCCGTGTTACATCAGAACAGTGTCGCCGTGTGTTACATCAGAACAGTGTCGCCATGTGTTACATCAGAACAGTGTCGCCGTGTGTTACATCAGAACAGTGTCGCCGTGTGTTACATCAGAACAGTGTCGCCGTGTGTTACATCAGAACAGTGTCGCCGTGTGTTACATCAGAACAGTGTCGCCGTGTGTTACATCAGAACAGTGTCGCCGTGTTACATCAGAACAGTGTCGCCGTGTTACATCAGAACAGTGTCGCCG